TCAGCGATTCAACCACTCTGCACCACCTCGTCATTTCGACTCAGCAACTATGGTTAAATTACAGAGTTTACGGAACAAACGGAACAAGGCAAAGATAATTCTACTCAAGGCGATATAACCCACGGAGGCGATGATTCAAGAACATGGACGACAACAAGATCCACAACTCGATTACGGGGAAATCGCCGATTCTCAAGTTCACATCAAACGACTCCTAGATCTCCTCATAGCAGCCGATTAAAACGTGATCGACGTAATCGATCCTTCCGATGATGCTTTCAACGAAATCACAGATTTTCAAACGGATATTGCCAAAAGATATGCACGAATCGCGAGGTTCATCGAAGACTTCAAGATAAAACAATGGCACTCAGCAGTCGCAACATCGACGAAAACTAGCCAACCCGACCCTACTTCGCAACCCCGTCTAAAAACGGTACAACTTCCGCGCCTGGAATTGAAGGAGTTCAACGGCGATCCTCTCAGGTGGAGTGAGTTTAATGACGGATTTAAGGCAACAATTGACTCTAACCCACAGATCAGTGAAATACAAAAATTCACTTATCTACGGTCTCTCGTCACTGATGAAGCCAAACGACTAATCGATGGTTATCAGACTACTGAAGCAAACTACAAGTCAGCCTACGCTCTATTAGAGAAACGCTATGGTGATACACAATTAATTGTACAAGCACATATGGAATCATTGTGGTCTCATCCAGTACCGAGTTATAATGCGACATCGCTTAAAGACTTCCACGATAGCCTTGAAACCACTGTGCGATCGCTCAGAGCTCTGGGAAAGCCTGAATCTGGATAAGAAGAGCTACTAATTCCCCTTCTACTCAAAAAGTTACCTGCCCAATTTCGACGTGACCTTGCTCGATCAAACGGTGCTCAAACGTGGACATTGGCAACTTTCAGCATAGCGATGATACGTGAGATACGCGTACTCGAAGTCGGGCTGGACGAGGACGATGTTGACGATACATCATACCCTTCATCTATCTCTGCATTTACCACCAGCAGTCAATCTACTGGAGTTAAACAAGTAGCAGCAGTGCAAGGTAATGATCAATACAAATCGCAAAACAAATCGAAATATAACCGACACAATGCTGTTAGACGATCCAATGACCGACGACAGACATCAGAACATGCGTCCAAACCGCCACACTGCATATACTGTAGAGGTAAACACTACACAAGTGACTGTCATGTGTTAAGCCGACAGACTCAACTTTATACACGAAAATAAACTATGTTATAACTGTCTTGGCTCACATCTAGGGCGTTAATGTCGCTATCAGTGGACATGTCGCACCTGCAAGAAAAAAAACACCATTCCTCTATACATTCGGACTCCTCGACCAGCGCAGCGCAAAAAACTTCTGAAACTCACGTAAACTTTGCGCATGCTAATTCATATCGGCGACCGTTTTTTGACGGGCCGTCAAAAACGGACCCAGCGCCACCTCCGTGCGTGCTTCTCAAAACAGCTCGAATTACTACTATTGGTAATGGTAATTCTCAGGTCGCCACAGTTCTATTTGACGAAGGGGCTGAAAGGAGTTTTATAACCACTAAATTCGCTGCCTCGATTAAAGTGGACACTAACTATTTGGAGACCCTAAATCTCAAGGCATTTTCGAATAGCAAAACTGGATATAAAACCGTACCACGAACTACAGTCGCTCTCCTACAACGAGACGACTACAAAAGTCCCATTGACTTGCTCATCGTTGATGAGATTTCTGATAATCTTGACAATAACGTTACTGATGACCTACGTAACATACCACACTTACGAAACCTACCTCTAGCGCATCCAATCACAAGTGACACCACACTGACTAGTATCGATGTCAGCGAGTTGTGCAGTGGCGGTCCGGTGACTAAACATTGATTTAAACTGGGTTGATCCCGTTTTGAAGTTGCTGAACAATTATATACGATTCTGATCGGAGTGGACTTGCTGTCCTTCGAGACCGATCGATGGGGTAGGTAGTGTCCGATTTCTCGATCGTCATTGGTGACCTCCTCAATGAAGCCCTGCTTAAGTTGATCTTGTATGATGGTGTCGTAAAATTTCACAAGTTCGCTTGGCAATTTGTTGATTATATTTCTGGTGCGTGAGGTGGCTGACTGTAAGTTTGTCGGCAAAATATCATGATCTGGTCGCCATGACAACTTAGCGATATACCTTCTTTTCTTGCTGGACAAGCAATTATCAACAACTTGGCGATGTTGTTCATCATGGGTGGCTTTGGTTTCACTTACTGTGATGGTGTCATGGATGCCTACCGTTTCGAGGTCCCAGTAGTTGGCGACGAGTTTATCGAGCTCGGGGTCTGGTGTTTTGATCGAGGAAATATGAAATGTATTCGTATTATGGCCTCTTCTCTTAGTTGAATAGACTGGTCCCGAAAGTAAATAACCAAAGGCAGAGGAAACTGCTACAGGACTGGTTCCCCTTATAATGTGGTTTCCTACGTAGTCCCAATACCGATCCGCACCAATAAGTACATCTATAGTCAGTGTGGTGTCACTTGTGATTGGATGCGCTAGAGGTAGGTTTCGTAAGTGTGGTATGTTACGTAGGTCACCAGTAACGTTATTGTCAAGATTATCAGAAATCTCATCAAAGATGAGCAAGTCAATGGGACTTTTGTAGCCGTCTCGTTGTAGGAGAGCGACTGTAGTTCGTGGTATGGTTTTATACCCAGTTTTGCTATTCGAAAATGCCTTGAGATTTAGGATCTCCAAATAGTTAGTGTCCGCTTTAATCGAGGCAGCAGACTTAGTGGTTATAAAACTCCTGTCAGCCCCTTCGTCAAATAGGACTGTGGCGACCTGAGAATTACCATTACCAATAGTAGTAATTCGAGCTGTTTTGAGAAGCACGCGCGGAGGTGGCGCTGGGTCCGTTTTTGACGGCCCGTCGAGAAACGGTCGCCGATATGAATTAGCATGCGCAAAGTTTACGTGAGTTTCAGAAGTTTTTTGCGCTGCGCTGGTCGAGGAGTCCGAATGTATAGAGGAATGGTGTTTTTTCTTGCAGGTGCGACATGTCCACTGAGAGCGACATTCACGCGCTAGATGTGAGCCAAGACAGTTATAATAAAGTAAAGGCAGAGTCTTACCTTTATTAAGCTGTCTCTTGGTGAGATGATACACACGTTGAGAATGGATATCTAAACGAAACTAGCGAAGGAACGGTAGTTGAAGCTTGCGTTATTTCTCTAGGTTCCGATCAGACTGCCGAAGTTCCCGGATGTTGGAGAATGGGAACTTCGGTACCTGTCGGGATCCTTCGGCGATACGTAAATCACATAGGCCATTTATACTACACTCTCCTCCGTCATCTTTTTCGGTGATGGTTCCATTATCCTATAATCTTCTTTTCCAGTATCAAGCCCATGTGATTTACGCCAGTATCGCCTAGGTGTCAAGTCAGTAACTCAGATGGTTATCAAATGCATTGTTACATGATATGGACTAACTAACAAAACGCAACTCAACATCCATCATGTTCCAATACATCCAAAATCCATCTGATCAGTTAGTCCGTCAGTCTATTTACCCCATATAGATGGGGAATGTGCGTAGTGCAATCAGTCATTCACTCAGTCAGTCAGTCAGTCAGTCAGTCAGTCAGTCAGTCAGTCAGTCA